CACTTAAAATCATTTACAGAGAACGCAATGAGAATAAAGATACCAGGGACCAGGGATTTGATTTTCTAAGGGCTCCCACATGTGGAATCCCCAGGAATTCCATTTTCTTAAGGTCCTCTGGGTGGACAGGTATAGAAATAACCGCCTAATATGTGTCGAAACAAATGCCTGTTTCGTGGCCTCCCCCGCCCACTGATTTAATAGGGGAAATTCCACGGGGGATGGTTGGATTGAGGTTGTGAGGCTATGGCAATATCCAAGGTAGGGCTAAAATATGCCAAAATCGTCGGCTCCAGCTCGGTGGGCTGAAGCATTCAAATGCTCGAAAGGGGATTGTGAAAGATATTGAAAGATTGCCTCTCTAAAAAATCAGGGATCACTAAAGAATCAGGAACGTACTCCCAGAGATGCTCAAATTATGCTTCTGGATTCTGGGCACCTAAACTCTCCAGAAAATCAGCATCTTACGACTCAGAGGTCTCCAAAAGTTGTTGTATAGAAAAATGGGGGAACTTCGAAAGCATCATTTAAGCAAATGAGAGCTTTTCGAAGGACAAAAAAACCACCCTCCTTGAAATCCTAGAGGAAACTCATACCGGTATATTTTTCGGATATTTATACATTTATATGGAATAAATCTAATATTTATTATATAATAAATTTAATTTATTTATTGAATGTTTGAACCATTATTTTAAATTTATCTCTTTTTTTTGGAATATTCCATAGCTTTCAAAATTTCCGTTTCAAAAGAATCTTCAGGATCATCCTGGTTAGGCAGCGGTCTAAAACTCTTTCAATTTTGCGAGGATTTATGCGGATTATGCGGGATGAAGACTAAGATCGCACTATCATACCTATACAATACCCCATAATGCAATGTTTATATAGATATATATATATTATCTATATATTTTACATAGCCATGCTAATCTCAAAAAACCGACTATTTTCCAAATCACATTAGTGTAAATCAAGCATTGTCGCGAAGAAGCCGTTATGGGGAGATTCTGGTTACCATGATCTCATGTTACATCCATCGAGCTTCATCATTTTGCAGGTCCCCTTAGCAACCCCAGTTAGATGATGATGCCCACGCAGGAGATCGAGCTGTTTTGCGACTTGAAAGAAGGCTCTTTCTACAGGCATGATCTTTGATGTGTTTCCCAGGGCTCAAAATTTTGGGAAAAAAGAAACAAATCCCATGGTTTATCATCATCGTTCCGGAATGGACAAGTGACAAGTATTTGGGTCCCATTTTGAGAGAAACGCTTATTACCATGCAGGGAACATCTTTCAATGACAGCAATGAATTTCCCGGCCGCGACCTCCATAACCTACGGGATTTTCCAGCCACATTTGATTGTGGGATGGTAATACATGTTACCCTCTGGTAAACTAACATAGCTATTAAACATGGCCATTTATCTTTGATTTACCCATTAAAAATGGTGATTTTCCATAGTTATGTTAGTTTACCAGAGGGTAAGATCGTTCATCCACCACGACGCAAGGACAAGATCGTTGCTAGGGGCCCGATCAGAGTTTGTCGGGAGGTTTTGGGATATTTCGGGATGATTCCTGTTAAAACCATGATTCCAGGGCTCGGGAGAACAGGCTTCGGTCGTTATAATTTGCCCAGATGAATGCTTATTAGATCATTAATCATATCATATATATTCTATAACAATATATTATTAATGGTTATTATACAAATTTTTATGTATCTGATCTGCTATAAGACTGACTCATGGTTATTTTGTATTGGTTATATCATGTTATATCATGGTATCAATTCAAATCTGGCTGAGCTGACTTCCCAAAACCTCCACTTTTTAAGCCAGTTTGGGGCGTACCCTCTGGCAATTTAACGTAGCTATTGAAAATGGCCATTTATAGTGGATTTACCCATTGGAATTGGTGATTTTCCATAGTTATGTTAGTTTACCAGATGGTATCTGAAAATCGGGTATAACCCTTCAAAATAGCACTTTTCATGGGGAACATTCGTTTCTCAACCATCAAAATTGTGTTTCCCCCAAACAAATTCAGGCACCAAAACCATTTCTGGGTTTGTCTGAAAATATGATACACCTGAATCCTCTGGTTAATTATGTTAATTAGCATTTTCCCACGAAAAGTTCATATACCCAATTTTCAGACAGGTACAAATTCCACTATCACTGACTTGGCTAAAACACAATTTTATGATGGTTAAAGCCATCAATTTTGGTTGGGTAAATCCCATTACGATGCCTGATTTTAAAGGGGGTTGTTACAGCTATTGCCTCTTACCTATCAATTAGTACCTATACCAATTTTTACAGCCCATCATGATATATCCCATTACATCCCCATGCAATTGGTATAAAAGTCACCATTTTGGTTGGTTAATCCCATGAACATCACCCCCAAAAATTGATTGAAACATCCCAAACATCGTATATCCCAGTATAGTACTATATTCCATCATATGTATATGTATATATATATATGTATTTGTATATATATATATACACACATGTATCCCATTATATCCCCATGAAAGTCCCAGTGAGTTGAAACACATCCTCCACGCGGCGACCGCGGCCTGATGTACACAGAGCTCGCCTCTGGGCACACAGCCCAGGGCCGCTCCCACCTCGAGGAGGAGGCTACCAACAACGGGTGATTTCAAGAGCCTTGTGGTTTCACCACTATAAATGGTGATTTAATGGTGATTTAATGGTGATTCAATGGTTTCACAATGGGTTAACAATGGTGAATAATGGGATGATGTGGGGTATACCTTGATCTTTCTATTACTACGATGGCCAATCTTAGATACCCTGCAAAAAATGACAACTTTGCTGGTGAAGGTAGATAATCCCATTGATACCGACTAAAGTGACTAAAGGATTAGTTTCTACCCATCCAGTTGATTGACCTGGTGCCTTGGGAAGAAACACCCCAGCTGCTGATCAGTGGCACTGGGCGAATCTTGGAGCTCCAAAAATGTCTGCAGCTACCCAGCCATCTGAGAAAAATCACTCACCAGCCCCAACAAGTGGCCCGAAAGCAGCTATGCAACCAAGATTTTACTTCGAATGGTGGGGTTTTACCATCCGCAAAAAACTCTGGGATTCCAGACACCGCAGTCGCAAGGGAAAGTCCAGGGGATGTCTGTGAAATACTCCAGCCTCAGGACACACCAAGGCTGCACTTCATCGCGACTCTTGGATATCTTGGATGCCCAAGATATCCGAAAAAAAACGCAAAACAGATTTTTTCTTTTGTTCTATTGAGGTTTTCTTGATATAACATGATATAACCTCACTACGTTGCAGTACTATTCCATTGAGGTTTCCCCAGTGAATCAATCGATGCCATGACCAGCTGGTCGTTGGTCATCCCAGCTGAGAAATTCCGGGGATTTGCTCCTCAAAGGTGACCAAATTGATTTCCAGATACGAGAAGTGAAGTGAAGAGGTGGTGACTCAGATTGCCTATTCATACCTTGTGCCTATTCAACTAGGACTAGGACTTCTCCAGCTTATGTTTGAAAAAAAGGTACGGCGGATGGTCCTAGTACGCACTGAAATGGAGACAAGTTCCATGAATTTTCCAGCTGTGGCTGTTGTTTCAAGATGCTCGAAACTGAGGCACACTGAAATCGTGCGACAGCCAGGTAGCAATGCAGAGTTTTGTAGCGTTCCTACTGAACCCAAGGGTGCACATAGCATCTTGGGCAATTTGAAAACGCCAACCAAGTTCAGAACCCAAGGCGAACACAGTTTATCTATGAATTTCCGCAACGTGGGAATGCAGAGACCTGTGCAGTGCCCTTGGAAACACAACATGTCTGAACATTCTGCACTCCCATGAAATGGAAGACAAAATGTGGCTGCTATGGCTGCTATGGTCAGTAGATGTGATATGTGAGAATTCCTTGTGGGGTGCAAGGCAATATACATCAACATATACTATTCTCAACCATATACTGTGTCTATCTATATCTCCTTGCGATGTCCCTGGTAATTCGTCATGGAACTGGCATGTCAAAGTCAGCTTGCTCACCAAGCACGATCTCAACAGTTGTTTCAAGATGCTCGAAACTGAGGCACACTGAAATCGTGCGACAGCCAGGTAGCAATGCAGAGTTTTGTAGCGTTCCTACTGAACCCAAGGGTGCACATAGCATCTTGGGCAATTTGAAAACGCCAAGGAGTGCTCAGGTCTGGAAGCAGAATAAATGTCTAAAATTCCGTAGGAGGTAGTTGTCACACTAAGGTCCCAGACTTTTCGGCCCAGCCGTGATACACGGCACAACAATCCAAACCTGGAAGGCGAGACTGAAAGGATGTCTACACAGTTTGTTCATATCTTTTGTTGATCAATTTAACACTATACTGTAGTCTTCCTATATCGCATATTTGGGTATTTGGGAGCCTAAAAATGGGGTAGTGACAATTTTGACAGAGAAAATCATGATAAACGTTGATAAACCTTCATAAACCATTGGATAAGCATTTTTAATCCTTTTTAACGATACTCAAATGAATCAAGTTCGATGCGAAGAGACAGATAAGTCCAAATTAGATAGCCTATCTAGCTCTGCTAACTGTTGGGTGTCCCAAAATGAGTGCGACTTTACGACTTTGGGTAAACTGACCTGTCGATTTGGAGAGCCATTCTGGCTGACTTTGGAAAATGATCTGCGAAAAGGATCCGGCCTTCAACATCACGCCGAGATGCGAATTTTGGGACTGGGAATTCTCAGAACTCTTCACCAAAGCAGAAATTTTTGCCTTGCCGAAATCCCCCAAAAAAATGCCTTGAACTCCACAATTTCTTCTTCCTGGCGTCAAATTTGGCGAAAACTGCGACTTCAGTTGGCGCCTCAAGGAATCAGCATCCATCAAACGGTGAATCATTCCCCTTGTTGTAAAGTAGGTCCGCAATTTTAGCCAGATATTATATCAATATATCTCAATTATATCTCAATTTCCAGCCAACTTATCTCAGTTATCTCATATCACATCCTTCTTTTATGTCCTACAGATTTCGTTGACCAAAGCAATGTTGATTAAGGCTTACGGACCTAGCTTTGGGTTGGTCAAAAACTCATGTGTGTTGGTAAACAACTTTTGGTTGGGTATGTCATTTTGTTGTCAGTTCAAAATCCACTTTTGTTGTCCGAACCCCGATAACATAGTTTGTGGCTCAAACCTCGATGTTTTGTCAAAGCCTTTGTCAATTCACTCAGGACTTTTGCTCAATCCACATTTTCTCCTACATCAAATTCGTTCTCCAAAAAACACGACGTCCAAATCATCCCAAATCACATTTTTTTTGTGGCCTATCCAAGCTTTTTGTTGCAAAAAAAACCCACCATGTCTTGCTGAATGAACCCACCAATCATGGGTCATTAAACGTCCCAATTGAACATCACCCAACCATGAGGTGTATCATCTATAATGGCCATTAAAGGGTGGTGTCCAATATCCCAAAAATGGGACATTTACCAATCCCTGCCAATCATCCCTCCTGGATCTGGCGCTTGTCCCGGTCTTCGAGCCAACACCTCCAAGTTGAGTTCCACCCAGCGGCACGGGAACAAGCGCCGCGCCAAGCTGTCGCCGCCTCTTGGACCCAGGGACCAGGGTTCACCCAAGAAAGACGGAAATATATACGTGAAATATTGGTGCAGAATATGGTATATTCATACAAATAAAACATGGCACATGTAATTAACCTTGTTTATTCTCTAAAAATCATGGACTCCGGAGCCAAATATCAACAAAAACCGGATAGAACCACCAAGATCTCAACAAAAACCGCATCAAAGAAAGGGCAACGTATGAGGATTCAACGAAATATATCTAGCTATCTACATACCCTCTGGTAAACATACAAAAAACTATTGAGAATGGCCATAGAAATAGTGGATTTACCCATCAAAAATAGTGATTTGATTGTCCGTAGTTATGTAAACGTTTACCAGAGGGTATCTATCCATCTAATTCTATCTATGTCAATCATTGATCAAGTCTCCTGCCTTGCGTGTCCTCTTTGAGCCGGAGCCGGTCTCGTAGCACCAGCAGATCCACATCGGGCCCAACCTGGGGCTGATTTCCAGGCCCAGAAAATAATCAGAAATTCACAATATGTGGATCTGTACATAGTATTCTTGGTGTTCAGCCAATCAAACACCCAATTTTTGAGGTATTAGAGCAAATCGACCCATTATATCCATTCTATCCCCATATAAATCCCATTATATCCCCATATAAATCCCATTATATCCCCATATAAATCCCATATAATCCCATTATATCCCTATATAAATGGCTATAAACACCAAGCCATTTTCATGGTTTTTGGACTAATCCCACATCATCCCGCAACTGAACTATCCCAAACATCAGTCCCGTACCTCCAGGATCGCGGTCGAAACCACTGCGACCTGCTGGAAAATCAGCCATTTACCCTAACTCAATGGAGGTTTTAATGGGAACATATGGGAAAATATGAGAAAATATATAGGAAATTCCCAAAGATTAACATTTCAAGAAGAACATATGGGAAAATGATCCACAAATGAGGGATTTCCAATTGTCATATTTGATTATCGAAACGTAAGTATGGTCTTATTGGTTTATCATTTCAATGGGTGAAATCACAGTTAAACCAAACCCAATAAAATACGTATATGGATGACTGGTATTTTTACATCCCATATATTTAGAGATTTAACCAATATCCATTAGATGGTGGATGTGCCAATGGTTGAATGGCAAGAACCCATGGCGATCCCATCATATGAAAAACCACCAACCTTTGGATCCCAAATGGCAAATGAACACAGCTATGCAAAATGGATGAACATGCCCAGTCTGTAGATGATTTACCTTTAAACAATGGTGGTTTTCCATGGTTACCCTCTGGTAAACTAACAGGTTGCTATTGAAAATGGCCATTGAAATAGTGGATTTATCCATTAAAATAGTGGAAATTTCCATAGTTATGTAAACGTTTACAAGAGGGTATGTGAAAAATCCCCATCTTTGGACAAATCCCAGGGTACAACAATCGTTTTTTTGGTTGGTCAACTAACCCCGGCCTCATCCTTGAGCTGGGCTGTAGACAACTGTTGGTACTCTACCTCGTCCAACGTGCCACCCGTTGATGCATGAGCCAGACATATTATACATTATGTGTAACCTGTATATGCATATGTATATAATATGTAACGTAATTCTAGATATAAATCTACAACACGGTATATGTAGTCGAGTAAACACATACCGTAATAAAGGTCTATATCAAGTACAGACTGAATCGTATTTACATATAATGACAAAGGTATATGTATGTATATATATATATATGACATTTAAAATCAATATAACATGGACCCCACATACTCCCAACATGAGCCCTACAAAGGCCCAACATAGATCATATCTGGTTTTATTGGAACTCCGGAGCTAAGATGCCATGATGTGATGCACCACACACGAAACAAACATGCGCCCCCTTTCTATTCGGATGGCATGCTATGGCCCTAAACGGATTCCAAATTTTGAATCTATGCTGCATACACTTAAAAACATAAGCTGCACTGGAAAGTTGGAACAGTCCTTTTTCTTATTGCAATGGAATGGTCTAGCTCTGGTTAAAGTAATGATGTTTGCACATGTTGAAGATCTTGATTTTAGAAGAAACAATATTGCACTTCTTTGAAAAACATGCTGCAATCTTTGGACATGTTGAATTTGTGCAACATTATGTTTTCCAACGGAATGAAATCTACTATTTTCCAAAGATTTTTTGTACTTGTTGAAGACCTCTTTTAAAACACTACTGCACGCGGAATATTGAACCAGACTGTGCCTATGTGACTTTCGTTGCCGGTTTTGTCGGTGATTCATGTCCCAACTTAGTGGCTAGAAGCTGGCAACAGGTAGTTTTTTCTTGTTGCGAGGGGCTAGCATTTATATGTAATATATATATAAGTATTTGTATACAAATGTATACACATGTATATATATATACATAAACATATTTATAAGTGTATATGTATATATATAAACATAATTATACATATATATGTATGGGTTGTTAACTCTTTAAACCACCCAGGAACTCGGATGTACGTGTTGGCTTCGAAGAGCTTTTTTGCAGCTTTTTTCGCTGGCCGACGGTGAGTCTACTGGACTGGTTTATGGCAAAAATGTGCAAAATCACCAAAGAATAGTTTTTTTATGCCAATAATAGTGGTTATATATGGTTATATGATGGGATTATAGCTATATATATATATCTGGTTGGTGGTGCTCTAACCATCTTGAAAAATATGAAAGTCAATGGGAAGGATTATCCCGAATTATCCAATATATTATGGAAACAAAAAATGTTCCAAACCACCAACCATATATATATATATATATGTATATGTAGATGTATAACTATCTATATATCTGGGTAAATTATAATATTTCACTAACCTGAATTAAGGCCATTTGGGGATGATTTCCCTTACTAGCCATGATTCCAGTGAGGTCGCAGTGAGGTCGTTATAATTTACCCAGATATATCTATATAATTATACATATTTACTACTGATGGCAAGCAATCACCCAGTTCTACATAGTTCTACCTACCATCTGGCACTAAGATGCACAAAGTATAGCATCGTATCCCAATTACATCCCAGTATCGTCCTTTTAGCCTCTGGTAAACATACAAAAACCTATGGAAAATCATCATTTTTAATGGGTAAATCCACTATTTCTATGGCCATTTTCAATAGCTATGTTAGTTTGCATCTCCGTTATCCCACTAGATTTTAGTCACTGCCGGGCAGCAACAAAACGCGTGTCAAGCTGCATTTCTTCGAATGCCGGCTTCGACCAAGAGATGTCCAAAGCGCTTCACGAACGCTTCCTGGGTCTGATATCACTGGGGTGTATGGGATGTTTCAGGTCTAAGCAGACAAACATGAGGGCAACCACCTAATGGAAAAAATGGAGAATCCTTGGGAATCGACGGTTTCCTGGGATATTCTTTGGTCACCATTTCTGGGACTTCCTAGGAGAAGTCATCCGAGTCTCATTGACGTGCCCCATTTTGCAGCTTCCTGTCAACCTACTCTGTACATTATATGTATGAGATACTATATGATATTATCATATTGTCTATCATATACAGAACTATATATATATACGTACACATAACTATATATATATATACGTATGCAAATATAATTATATCATCATTTCCTCACAGCGCCCAGCGTCTGCATCTGCGAAGAAATCGAAGGTACAGCCTGACGGCCCCGCAAGGCTGTCCAGGTCACCGGAAATCCCCGTGGGAAACCATGGGAAAATCCTTGGAAAATATGGGAAAATCCTTGGAAAATATGAGAAATCATCTATAGATGGTAATTTAAATGGGAACACCATCTATAAATTTAAATGGGTAACTTTGTCTGCCACGTTTGATTACCAGAAGGCAATGCGATGGGATACAGTACACTTCTGGCAAAAATTCACCAAGAAAGAGATGCGAATGAGATGACATCACCAGCTATATCCACATGAACTTGCATACCAACAACCAGAACGATACAAGCAACTAGCATATGAAATCACCAAGAAAAGAGGGATTTTGACCAGTGAGAAATGCTGAACTGTCAACTTCCTGACACTTCTCAAGTCAGGATTCCTCACCCCTGCGCCTTCCCGCTTGTCTTTGAAGCTGGAAGACATGCCATAAACGTCCCACATGGGCAACAAGCCTCAGAGCTTGTGCCAGCACTAAGTGGGGCTCATCTAGTGAAATTCGTGAGATGTGGCTAGACACCACTTAATTCCATTCATATTGGGTATGGATCAATACCTATAAACATACCATTTTTAGTTGGATGAACATCCATAAATCCCAGCTATTTTGATGTGAACTACAGGGGTACAGGGTTTTGACCCATCCCCATATCAAACAGCCTGGAAAACATGGTGGAATATTGGTGGATGAAATCACATCATTTGGGAGCAGTGGAAGCAGGGCTACAGTTGGATACCAGCCAAAAGTTACTCCCAACCAGCGGGGCATCCCAGTTTGCAAGTGGTTTTCACCATGGGATGACCCACAAAAAATTGCCAACCAGCAGGAAAAACCCTGCAAAAAATGACTTAAATTCTTTGCTGGTGAACGTGGATTTTTCCATTGATACCAAAAGACTAGTTAGGATTAGAGTACCCATCTAAGATTGACCTAGACTTACCCTCTGGTAAACAAACATAGCTATTGCGGCTATTGAACATGGCCATTTATAGTGGATTTACCCATTAAAAATGGTGATTTTCCATAGTTTTTTGTATGTTTACCAGGCCGGGTATGGAATACTCCCAGTTAGACATGGCTGCACGAAATGGAACATCCGGCCCGAGCCCGTGGCCGGAACCAGGCTCGTGACCGTGCATGGAACCCTCTGCCATCATTCTTAAAATGACGATCCATAATTTACCCTCTGGTGAACTACATAGCTATTGAAAATGGCCATTTATAGTGGATTTTCCCATTAAAAATGGTGATTTTCCATTGCTATGTTAGTTCACCAGAGGGTATCATAATTTTCTGATTTGTGTCCAATCTTTTCTAGGTTCTTCCAGTAAGAAATTCATAAAATATTGACCTTAAATATCCCATCATTTTCTCATCATTTCCCAGAATTTTCCCCTCCAGTTCATGGGGCCGGTGCAGGCTCATTAGCGGGGATGACCATCTACATCACCATAAGTTGGGATATATCCCCTCTAAGTATGGTTATATCATGTTATATCTACTTGGGGTTGAGAATAGGGCACCCCCAATTCCGACTTCAAAGTGGCTCAAAAAATAGCTATCCCCTACCAGATCCAACATTTTTATACATTTTTGACCATGACAACTAGGAAACAGAAACAGCCATGGTGACTTGGGGTACCCCCATTTTCAGACACACCCCATTGAATTATCATGTAGCACTATTTATTTTGAGAAACCATCATGAACCATCCATCTATTTTTTGGATTTTCACTAAACCCCCAGATAAAACAAACATAAAACCATCCATTTTTTTGGGGGTTTTCACCATATCAAACCATCCATCCATTTTTTGTTTTTTTGGGTTGTCATATTTGTCCATATTTGTCCATCATAAACCAACCATGGCCATGGGGCTTTTCATGAATTTTCCAGATTTTCCGACCCCAAAGATCCTCATGTCACCTGCCGAGTCTCTACAATCCCAGTCTTGCGGCAGCACCAAGCGCCTACGCAGCCGCACGGCCACTTCCAGGGCAGCGGTCAACTGGAGGAATTGACCTTGCACGTGGTGATTGACCAACTATCAACTTGGAGATGATATGGGGTTTATATGGAGATTATATGGGGTTAATATGGGGTTTATATGGAGATTGTATGGGAATTATACGGGGATTATATGGAGATGAAATGGAAATTCTATGGGATTTATCTGGTAATTCATTGGGAACTGGGAGATCTTCATGGGATTTTTCATGGGAACGTGTTGTTCACATTTTCGGATTATGGGAGAAAATTCAGCAACCAAACTGAGGATTTCCCCATAAGCCCCGGGAAGATGACGCACAAAATGTCTGGCAGAAACCCTCCAGTTGTACATAATATATGCATCATGTAATCATGGATACGTATATGTATATGTATATATATATGTATATATATATATGGGCTTCCAAAAATGGGTGTACCCCTAGATCATCCATTTCATTTTCGGATTGTCCATGAAATACACCAGCGTTGTCTGCGCCAAGGGACACGCCAGACTTCCATTCACATCGCCGCAGCGGTGCGGCTGGTGGTAGGAAAGAAACCCTGGGCCGCGGCTGCTGCGGTTGGAGGTGGTGCGGGTGATCAAGGACGGTTTACGGAGAGAGCCAAGGCATCAAGGCTTTGATAGGCTTTGGCCATGGAGATCGGATGGTTTTCAATTCTTGAACATTCATGGGGATAGTTACTGGTAGTTCATTGATGTGATCATCAATTTGATGTGACTATCAATTAATCATCAATGGATAATTACCATAATTACCAACTATCATCCAACTATCCAATCATCAATTTGAATCACCAATTACTGTGGACAATGGTTATATTCATTAATTTAATTGGTGATTCAAATTGATAGTCCCCTTATCATTGGATTGGTTTAAGGGAAAATCTACAGGAAACCATGGTTTTTACCATCAAATATAGGGCAATTGAATGGGCTTTCCGGTTAAAATGGTGATTAATGGTTATTAATTGGTGATTCAAATTGATAGTGCCCTTATTAATCAATTTGAATCAACTGCGGATAGTTACGGATCGTCCTCTCTGGATAGATGGGACTTTGGACAAAATCCAGATGAGGATCCGGGGATCTACAACCATAAAAAATCATCATGGCTGAACACAAAAGATCTACCCTCTGGTAAACGTTTACATAACTATGGAAAGATCCACCATTTTTAATGGGAAAACTCACTATTTCTATGGCCATTTTCAATAGCTATTTTGACACAACCAGAGGGTAGAGAAGTCATGTTTTTTTTGAAACACACCCATGGGAAAGTGGGGGTGTAGATATTCAAAGATGATCTTTGAACACCAGAAAAAACACGAGTGTTAGTAGCTCCAAGGGGCTCCCGAATATCTTTATTCTGAATACAACCATAGCTCCGCTCAGCGTCTCCAAATTCCCATTGATCAGAACCAGCAAATTCCGTCCGATCGTGATGTTGGGCTTTAAAAATAACTCGCTAGGGGTGGGACTCACTGCCTAACTGGGGGTGAACAGATGGCAAGATGGCAATTAGCCTCCGATAATTCCACACTTGCAAAATAGCATTTTTTTTCCATAGGTAAGTCACTCATCTATAAATTCATGGGCCGTTTCCCATAGCAAACTGGTACCCAATGAATCCCATGAAAACATCCCAATTACTGTGGGTAAAACAATAATAAACCATCCCCCAAATCACCATAAATACGTGGTATAAACCATTCCCAAATGGCTGGTTTATCAAATGGCTGGTTTATTATTAAAACCCATTAATCCCACAGAGTATACATATTAGCAGAGGGGACGCACAGAAAAGATCCAACACGGACCACTCCACACCAAATGCCAAGGAACGCCATGGATCAACGGCGGGTACCGGCGCCGTGGGGTAGTATTCCTAGGTTTTCCAAACCCTCGACTAGCCTGAGACGCACAAAAAAGTCACAATTGTTTAGCTGCATAGTTAGTCTGTTTCCTGATTTGTGGCAAGAAACACATCCCTTATATTCCCTTATATCTTATTGTTGATCTCTGAAGCTGAGCACAGAAAATTAGACAACTTAGCTTCCCAGCCATAGGCCGCAAACACTAGTTACTGTGCTACAAGCCCTCAAGAACGTCACAGGGACACATCCGGAATTCGTGCAAAACACCAATCAAACACCGTCAAACAGCGAGGATCCCATACGAAAAAACGGGTTCCAACATTGACATCACCCAGAAACTGCTGGCTTGTCAGTTGAATCATTTTTGCTTTGGTTGGCTAATGGGTTTATTCTTACCCATTCTTACCCATTACCCATAGGAGGAGCTTCATATCACCAGTTCAACCCTGAGAGGGTCCCCAGGCATTCTTGGCCTTACCCCATGGTTTAAGCATCAAAGAAAACACTTCTGAAACTGCCACGAATCTAAATCCTCAATTTTCGGACACACTGGAACTTCCACTATTTAATCATATCTAATTGGCTTCAGCCCAGAATTTCGCAAATTCTCCAGTGATATCTCCATGGATTTCACCATGGTGCACCGACAAAAAAAATCCCCATGGTGAAATCTACTGGACAACGGCCATGAATTTTTGCAGCGGCGGCGAGGCGCGTCATGTTGGATGGGCTCCAAAAATCGTTCCGTGAGATTTTCCACAAACCACAGACCTCGGTCCTTGGCGAAAAGAGGGCTGTTGACTGGGAGCCATTGATGGCAGGAAATGTGGTTTGAAGATGTTAAAAATATGGCCTGGAATGGGAAAATCATCTACAAATCATCAATTCTTGTGATTGTTCTTGCTCTTATTGCTCTTGTTCTTGCTGGTGTTGCTGCTGTTGTGACTGTGGCAGTTGCTTTGCTGCCGAAATGTTTTGATTCTTGCGCGCTGCCACGGCGAAGTTTCGAACTAGGCTGCTGGTGCTCTCCTGAACTGGACAGTCCAGTTCCCCCATGTACTTCATTTAACATCATTTCACATCTTCAATAGGAGTGACAACGTCTAAAAGCTCTTTGTGGTGGGGCTCGGTTCACAACTTTTCTGCCATTCCCCACCAATAAGATCCAGTAAGCACCCTTTTTATTCGGGGCTTCTGACCCATCTCTTGGTGTTCACCGGGGCTTGAATCAGGTGGAATCCCCCCCACTTCGGCTCTTCGGCTTCGCCGCGGCTCGCGCAAGAAGTACGGCTTGTTCTTCCCAAAGTTCGCATGGGCGACCTCGGAACCAAACCAGTCGTTAGATGAGAGAGTCTCAAAATTTGGGTACCCCCAGTTATGGCATCTTTAGTATAGGCTAATACAGAAATAATAGGGAACGGTATGATAAATTAGTGGATTTTTTTTTGGGTAGTAATCCATTGCCCAGTTCTCAGAAATACGACGACCACGAACTGAGTGATTCATGAGGGTTCAACCCACCCATGTCGGTGACCCTTTCCAGCACTAACGTTTGCGTCATTGATCAATGTTTTCCAATTTGTATCATTCTGGAAAATAGATGAACATAGATTGCCAGAACATTTGCTGGAATCATCCCAGATCCATGCAGATCCTACAATGGCTCGAAACTCACTTTTTGGCCACGGCGATGGGCCACAGTTCCGGGTCATAAATGCAACCCCTTTTCGACCAATCAACTGCTTTTAATGGCCAGTTGCATTCTTCCAGACCCAACATCCAAAGCAGAATTTCAAAGTGCAAAAACATTGAGCCGCTAACTTTTGACCTTTCCCAAGTCTGGTAGAGACTATACCACCTGAGTTAGGAAAGGTCAAGCCTACTCTCTGGTAAACTAACATAGCCATGGAAAATCACCATTTTTAATGGGAAAATCTACTATTTCTATGGCCATTTTCAATAGCTACGTTAGTTTACCAGAGGGTAACCCTCCAGTCTCCTTCTCGGCTCATTTGGGTCACCCCCATCCCCAGCAAGCGGCTGGGGGCAGTTCTAGACCTCGCAGCCGGTGGGAGTGGAGCCAGAAGAAAGCACCACCGTGGGCGATGACCGATGGATGGTGGACACCTCGTGGACGTCGTGAAAAAATGGCAACATGAGATGAAGCCATTAGTTTAATGTGGTTTAATGTGGATTCATATGGTATATGATGTATATATATAATTATATATATAGCCCATATGGTTAGACAAATTGACCAATTTGGGTATGGATCAATACCTATAAAAATACCATTTTTAGGGGGATGAACATCCATAAATCCCAGCTATTTTGAGATGAAGCCATTAGCCCATTGACCAATTTACCCTCTGGTTATGTCAACATAGCTATTGAAAATGGCCATAGAAATAATGGATTGTCCCATTAAAAATGGTGGATCTTTCCATAGTTATGTTAGTTTACCAGAGGGTACCCGGGTACCAACTGAAGAATTGATTGAACACTTTGTGAAGCTTCGACAAATCTATCAAAAAAGATGGACCAGTTCCAAGGATTTTCCCCATTTTGCCCGTCGTTTCCCTATCAACATCCGAAGCCAAGGGACGCACTGAGGGGTTGGGTGCACCGTCAATGCTCAGTGGGCTGCCGTAGGTCAAGTTTTCCATCATCGAAAAGCAACGGCCTTCCTTGAGTCGCCTGTGGAGATGCGTGGCTTGGAGGCTTGGAATGGCGAGCCGGAAAAAACCAATGCAATGGTGAGCCGTGTGTATGTTGAACATGTCGATATGATATATGCTGTACATTCATATAGATACACATTTGCCGGCAACTATTTATGTTGAAAAAAAGGGTACAACCATCCAGACTTGTTGAGACTTGTTGAGCATGGATTACTCTTGATTCACAGCCCTTGTTTTAGTGGTTGCCTTCGGCAAGCCTGCCGAGGTGGCCCAAGGAGTAGACGGCAGTGCTCTAGACACCGGCACTACCAGTTTAATACTCGGGGAAGAAGGAAGGAGTATAGGACTAGGGGCAGGAGCAGGAGTAGCAGTAGTTGTTGTGGTAGCAGGAACAAAGGTTCAAGTACAAGCCAAGAACAGAACAGGAACAGGAACAACACGTTCCAATCAGACAATACCCACAAAGCGTTTGACCCCTCTATGCACTCACAGCTATGTTTACACTATGCGCTTGTAGCACTTGGAAGATAATTTCTCATTTCTAACTCAAGGACCTGTTGCCCTATGGGTGTGGCGTTGTCTTTCTAAGTATTGCAGACTTGAAGCACATTCTCTGCGGCTTCGAATCCCTCCAGGTCCGTTTTGTTCTCACTTCCATTCTTTGCTTGTTTTTTGCCTTCTTTTTGCATTGTCTTTATTCCTTCCCTTCCCTTTCTTTCGCTAGCTGTCCTTACTGACTTTGTTTGAAGGATAATTATGAAACAAGATGGAAAACGATGGATCATGATGGAACATCATGAGACATTATGGAACATTATATATGATGGAAAAACATGGAACAGTGTAGAACATAGAGGACAATTGCACTGACACTTACATGGACAATATCTGGAAAATGGTGATAAACCCTAGTCTTTAGCATTTTAGGATCCATTGCATATTCATCTTCCAGGATAATGATGGAACGTGATACGGAAATGCAGTCATTCAAGGTCAATTCCATATATCATATCACCCGTCTTTTTAGCTGTTTTTCTTTTTAACATGGGAGTGCTATAAACCATCCATTTATATGAGTGGTTTCTCATTGCTTTGCGAACATTAATCCAATTCATCCCATCTATTCCCAATGAAAGTCCAATATAACCCCACTTTTCCCAGCAGTTTCCAATCATCATCCCACCCTCTGGTAAACCTAACTATGGAAAATCACAGGGGTTGGAAGATTAGTTTCCATTATAAAACTAGGCTATTAAAACAGGGTCAACAAGTTAATTTACCGGGTAAATCAACGATTTTTCTATGGCCATGGCATGGCTCAGCAGCTGCCAAGCTCGCCTGCGGAGGAAGTGACTGAAGATGCGCTGGTCGAACAAATCGAAGATGCCCAAGCCGTGTCCCAAACCCTGACGACGGGTAGGACTTGTGGGATGGGACCTTCAACCAACGATCGCTTTTTTTTGGGGGGATTTAACATTGTTTAACAGGATTTCATCTGGTTTAAGTATGTTTAACATGCTCTAACCCATGAAGAAGTAGGGATTGAACATGATTAATAGGGATTTAACATGATTTAATCAACAAAACTCGAAGATTGAAGTAAGTAGTTGGGGGCTTTAAACAAAGAAATGGGTCATTTAACCAATAAGAATTGGGGGATTTAAGTGTTGAAAGTTGTTTTTTTTTTACCTGATGATTCAACCAAACAAAAACTGGCACTTAACCAATATATATATATATATTTATTTAATATATATATACACATACATACATGTATATCAATATACCAATGAAACCTGGGATTCAAACGATGACAATTGGCTTAAACCAATCATAGTCGCAGAATGCCGGAAACTTGTTGTTTTTCTACCTTCCAAAGGGCCAGGGGCAAACCCTGAGAATGTTCCCCAAAACACGAATTCTGGCACAGGATACCCAGACCCAGACCCAAAATCAAATCAAATTTCATACACATGGAAATTCTCACGTAATCACCTGCTTCCAGCTCAGCAGTTTTCAGCTTGAGGATAGACCCATTGGGACCAAATTATCATGGACGATCCCATGAATCCCTAGCTACCCTCTGGTAATTTAACGTAGCTATTGAAAATGACCATTAATAGTGGATTTTCCCATTAAAAATGGTGATTTTCAATAGCTATGTTAAATTACCAGAGGCTACATGTCTCATTTTTGGATACGGAAAAACCATCAGCATGATATGGGCCAGAGATGGTCAGCAAAGCCTGGTTCATCTGGTTCTGAGTGTGTCTGAACATCATTCACTGAAACTTATGGAATGAACCTGTGGATTTACCCTCTGGTAAACTGACAATCTAACATAACGAACTGGAAAGATCCACCATTTTAATAGGAAAATCAAGGAACTAAATGGCAATTTTCAATAGCTATTTTGACATAACCAGAGGGTAGGGATTCCCTAGTTTCAAACATCCCTGGGTGCAGCATTACCCGTTGGATGGGCCCGAAATATCCCATTGGTTCATGGCTAAGTGCTTGGTGGCTCCACTCAATAAGCAAGTTATAAGTCTAGTGGCCCTAGTTTCTTAAGTGAATTAACCCTACTTATCCCACTTAACCAGGGGTAATCCCAGTCATCATCCATTTTCTCTTGGGATTTTCCATGAAAAATAACTGGTTGGTGGTATACCTACCCCTTCTGAAAAATATGAGTTCGTCAATGGGAAGGATTATCCCATATAGTGGTTTCAACCCATCTGAAAAATATGAAAGTCAGTTGGGATAATGAAATTCCCAATATATTGTGGAAAATAACACAGATTTGAAACCACCAACCAGAATAACTATCCAGCGAGCTTGGGGTACCCCCATGACTATGGAAACCCCAGGCCTGAGCGTCCCAGGGCGCATCCCATGGCGAATGATGGGCTCGGATGAAGTCTTGCACCTAAAGAAAGGAGCTCCCCCCCCCTAGGGTGGGTCCGTCACCCCTAAAAACCCGCAAGATGTCCTCTGAAAAAATGGAATTTCATATTTTTGGATGGGTTTTTATAGTGATTTCATGGTTTTTTGTAGTGATTTAATGGGTTTTTATAGTGATTTAACAGGATGTTCATGGGATAAATGGGGGTTTACTGGGATATTCATGGGATACTTAAGCAGCAAGATCTTAATCCAATGGGGACATCATGAAAGACTAGGAATAATCCATGAACAAATGGAAGGTTCATGGAATATTCATGGAACTATTCGTTAATATCCTCTGGTAATCAAGCTTGACAATGGGAAATCACCCCTAAGTTGAGGTTTATAGCTTGGAAAATCATCGAACTAATGACATGACTGCAGCGGATATTTCCAGCAATGTTTGATTACCAGATCGTATGCCAAAGTTTATTGCCATCGAGATCCATTGAGTAGTCTATCATAGCAATTGGACATCCACATTGAACATGGCATTTACTTAAACACCGGAAAGATAGAACAGTAGAATTTGCCACTAGTTTAGCGGGATTTATGTTTCTATCCATATATCCGTTTCGCTAAGATTTTTCCAAGCCATTTCAGTCGATTTACCTCTTGAGCCCTTGAAGTTTCCAGCCAGCAACAGTTGTAAGAGGGAGGCTACGGTGGCTGTCACTGCCACGCAAAACATCCGATGGTTGTTGTAACGTCCCTAGATATTCCATGTATCTAGACCCTCCAAATACTCCCGTTAGAAATGGTAAAACAAGTGTTAAAGTACTGACATTATAGGATATCACACATCATTTATACGGAGACTTGGAGGGTCTAGGTAGAGCGAAATAGATCCAAGTAGAAATTTTACTCTCCAGCTGATCCAGAGACATCCCTCCCTGTCAGCGTAGATCAGCGTCTAGGCGCTAGCTGTAATGATCGCTCAGAAGCTCTGGCGAACATGAAGCCAGTGTTCACGTGCTCCTGGAACTTCAGATTTTTACATCAAAATGTGAGATGTCACCATCCAAATCTTCCAACCCCCAAAACGAAGCTGGGGTTAGCTGGGGTTGGGAGTGGTGGATGTTATCCCCCCTTTGGTTGCCGGTCAGAAGTAGCCCAAAAATGGATAAACAGATCCAAATTGGGGATGTGCCAAAAGCCTCCAAAATCACTAACCCTAACATCAAAATCGCCGGTATTCATGTATGTTCATCCATCCCAAATATGTTTTTTAAGAGGTGTTGATATTAGTGTTGATCCATCCCCCAAAAGGATCATCCGGATTCCGGAGTTCAAAGCACCTCATATCAACTTCTTATTTATAGATATATCCTCCCCTCTGAAATATGCTTAGTATGGTTTAATATGGTGCAAAATCCCATTGATTATCATACTTAGTTACTTAGCTGGTTGGTGGTATACCTACCCCTCTGAAAAATATGACTTCGTCAGTTGGGGTTATGACATTGCCAATATATGGAGGTTTCCATAGTCATGGGGGTACCCAAGAGCTGGATGGTTTAGACTGGAAAATCCCAATCGAAAATGGCTGATTTATTTAGGGTACCTCCATGACTATGGAAACCTCCATATATATATATATTACAATTACAATTATATGATATTTATCATCCATATCCATCCAAATCTCATATCCCTGCAGTTCAATCTCCATGATCGAACGCCGCCATTCGGCTTTTCTCCGCTCGGAGACCGCGCTGGCCGTCCGTTTTGGCACCCGTCAGCAGCGCCAACTTTTCCTTCAGCTCGGCCAGTTCCCTGTGACAAGTCGCTGTGACCGCTGGTGTTTCAACATCTTAAGGATATATATATATATATGTGGGGTATATGTATATATATATATATGGATAATACATATACATACATACATACATATATATATATACATACGTATGATGTTATATAACAACATAACATTATATTATGACCTTGTATCTCCATGTTTGATGATCTTAAGTATCTTTAACTTGATTCTATAGAAAACAACAACTTAAAGAACCAGGGAGATATATTCTATGGCTTGAGACTTATCAACAAGGAGTAAATGCTTAGGTGGTTTTTATCAACTCTTACAAGTAACACACCTTCAATACGCCTTTACTAAATCCTTGACAAACCTGAAAACCACCCCTATGTGTTGTCACGGCCAAGCTATGTCAATTATTCTCGCTATTCTCGGGTGGATAGATGCCATCATTCAAAGTGGGGATACATCAAGTTATTTCCGTTTGACATCATTTTCCTGCGGAGAACCTTCACAACAATTCCCATTTTCTTAAAACTAAACTTTTCCAGGTACTCAACTCCCACATGGAGGTTTCCTAAGTCATGGGAGTACCCTAAATAAATCATCCCAAATTCGACCATAATCAGATCATCATATCGAAAAACCATGGCTGAATCAATACCATGGTATTTTACACATGATGATGGTTTATAAAAACCATTATAATCAGTACTTTATTTACCCATCATCAAAACCACAGTCTATTGAAACCCATGATCAGGTACCTCAACTCCCACATCTTCTACCCTCTGGTGAACTAACATAGCTATTGAAAATTGCCATTTATAGTGGATTTTCCGGATTTTCCCATTAAAAATGGTGATTTTCCATTGCTATTTTAGTTCACCAGAGGGTAACAAAAAAAACAACGGGGCCTTTCAACGGCTTCGCGCCGTTCGCGCTCCAACATCAATTCCAGGTCCAGCACGGTGGAACGCACTGCCTGACCGCGGACGAAAAAAAGGGTGTCATGATGCCATGGCAAACTCCGAAGCCATTGGTCGACCAATGGGATAAGATTTGGGATCTCATGGAGTTTTGACCATGAATTTGCAATTTTATAGCTAAAAAATGATATCTGAAAAAGAATCTTACATTCAATTTTATGCAGTTTTTTTGATATCTTATAATATATTATATTCAAATTTGGGATATAAGACTGCTAATAAAACATCTGCAATGACTCACCAGAAATAGCTGGTATAGAGCCTCTGAGACTGGAAGCTTACTATTTGGCTGGACACTTTAAATGTGGTCTACTGTACACAATCATCTTGTATTTATCTGTATACACTATACACTGACATTTGATTCTTTGAATCCTCAACATATCCCCGGTCAGAGCAAAACATAAACCAAAGTCAAATGAAACCCTTCACATCAAGCTGCTATCAAGCAAGCAAGCCTTGCTTTGCATGTTGCCCACAAATTTGATTCAAAACGGGATCTCTGAAACCAGCAAAAGCCTTGGATATCCAGTGGTTGACCCTCTATCCAACCCCAAAGAATTTAGAATATTTAGACGAAGTGTTTTTGTTTGACCCTCTATCCAACCCCATATATCCATATATATCCATATATTTTCCATATATATATTCCATATATATATATATTCCATATATATATATATATATTCCATATATATATATTCCATATATATATATATATTCCATATATATATATATATCCCATATGCCATCAGCTATGTCATAAGGTATGTCAGTGCTACGTCTTTTTTTTGGGGGACACCCATCCCCGGCTCCCGGCTTTGCTCCGTCGCCTGTGAAGGTCGAGAAGATTGGTATGTGAGCCTGGCGGAACCGGATGCCTCAACCTTCGAGCCAATTACTAATGACTAATAGGAAACCAGCATCATTATAGGGGTTATAATATATATATAGGGGTTATAAATAGTATATATATAGGGGTTATAATATACAATATATATATATATATCATGACCTATATAATATACTAATGCAGGTTGGTGGTTTCAACCCCTCTGAAAAATATGAAAGTCAATGGGAAGGATGACATCCCATATATCATGGAAAATAACAAATGTTCCAAACCACCAACCAGAATGACTAAATAGGAAATCAGCATCAGGATAATGGGGAGAATGGAATAGATGAGAATAGGGGTTATAAATTATATATATAACCATCATGAAAACTATAACCATTATTATAACCATTATCATAACCGTTATTACAATGGCATTCAACCATCATTCGACCATGACCACAATGGGATAATACTTACTAATGATATTGATCACCAGCAATAGGGATCAAATTGATTGGGACCATGGGAATTATTCCTGGACTTGTCTTTAAATTTGGAACCCCAAATTGCTTGAACGCAGCATTTTTTCAAGCGTCATTTTCCCATGAAAAAACAACCATAACTTGGGCTATTCCCCACTTTGAGACACACCCATATGGTAAGAGAATGTAAGAAAATCTGGTTGGTGGTATACCTACCCTACCCCTCTGAAAAATCATGGAGTTAAAGTCAGTTGGGGTTACGATTTATGCCATTCCCAACTGTTTCTGGAAAGTCAGTCAAGATTCCATGGTTCCAGTCACCACCAAGCAGAAATTGTGCAATGCATCCAGCAATGATTCCATGCTTCCGGAAACTGTATCAACGATGGGGTATCAAGGGACAACTCACCGCTTGGGAGGTGCTATGGCAATCCACATTGGGGGTCCCAACGTTTGGTAAAACTGCTGAGATTAGCATTGGGTAATCCTTTCTGTTCTATACTTTTCTCGGATATTCCTTACTAGTGTTTGATGGCTTTTGCGTATCTCTTAGATGTTCTTCGGCTTTATTTGCACATATGTTTGTTGCTGATCCATTTATCCATTCCATTTGTTGGGCACAAAGAAGCACTTGAAATACCATGACATACCCTCTGGTAATTTAACATAGCTATTGAAAATGGCCCATTGAAATAGTTGATTTTCCCATAAAAAATGGTGATTTTCCATAGCTATGTTAGTTTACCAGAGGGTAACCCCTTTTAAAGGCGCCTTGAAAGTGAAGAACTGCGTCCAGTGAGGCGACTTCCGCTCACCTAAACGCTGTCTGCAAGCAGCGAAGGACAATCCATGGGCTTGAAAGCCCCTCAATCCACTGCTGAAAAAATGGATTTTCCATGGGATTTTCCCTCAAATAGTCATTCTCCAGCTGAAACACACTGTAGGCTTCAACCTAAAGTTCGTGCTTTCCCCTCGTAGACTTCTAACACGTCATGTTCCTCAAACTATGGAAGACATTGATGTTCTCACCGCAATCTCTCCAAAACTCCAATTCCACCAACTTTTCTCCGAAACGCCAAGGGACTTGAGAGGCCACTCCCGTGGTAATTGGCTGCGAGCTGGCTGCACTCCTGGGCCGTTCAGCGTTCTGCGCGGTTTCAGCGCGGGCCGCTGGGCGTTGCAAGGCGTGGGCGTGCGAGACACGTGGCCCGACTTTGAAGGCAGCGTTGGGGCCTGGAACAGGTGGATTGGGGATTTTTTCCGGGTGGATTTTGATGGTGAACTTTTTCATGGATTTTTTCGATTTTGATGCTGAACTTTTTCATGTTGTTCTTGGAAACATATTCTACTACATGGGAAATCCATGGAAATCCAACCATCTTTTGATGAATGGCACATTGATTGTAGATATTACTACTAGTAATACATCTCCGTCAAAAAGAAATGATGAATCGCAGTTCTTGATAGTTGCGTTTTGTCTCTGGTATACAGAAGGGAATTAGTAGCTCACACACGCTGGTTGGTTACCTTTCCAGCACATAGACTTTTGTGCGATGTCTGAGAGTGTCCTGTTGCACTCGTATCTTCAAATTAAGTGCTTTCTTGAAGTGCTTATTGAAAAGTTCTACAGCAGCATGTGCTCCTTTGCTTAAACATTTCAAATCTTGGCCTATGCGAGCTGGTGGAATATGGGAGTGTAGCCGCCATCAACATCAGCAACAAGTGTCAACTGACCACTGCTCACAAAATACAGTAGCTTACCCATTGGCTACCCCATCAAATCCATTGTTTATCATCATTTTCATCATTCAACTGCCATTTGATGGGGGCAGGCGCACCCACGTGTAAAGTTGTTGCTTTTCCCAATGAGCTGCCTCCCACATCCCCTGAACAGGGCTTGCGCAAAGGGTACGACAGAGAAAGCCTTAGGATGGACGCCGTTGCCGAGAATAATGGAGAATCTAGGGATACCCAGGGGAATTGAACATAGCTATGGAAAATGACCCATCAATAGATGATTTGCCTATCCACAAAAATACACCTGCATAGTATACTCCATGTGGACCCTGCGTATTTCCAAATATGTTCAATTCCCAATCATTCTCAGTCACCACTTTTCATTAGTTGCCTCCTAAATGCAACATATTGCAACTCATGCGAACACTCCTAAGTATCTACCAGCACCTATTCTTATCCACAAGCACGTCATTTGGATCTCTTTCCATTTTTGGAGGCCTGTGCCATCTGAAAAACCTCCCCATGATTCTTCTTTCGTCGAGGAACATGCACCGGTTCAAATGGTCAGCGCAGCGGCGTGGGCCAGGAGGTTATCAATTGTGGGCAGATTTTTCCCACAAATTTCGTTTTGGGTTTGATCCTCATGTGTGTTGGTTGAATAATTATATACCCTCTGGTAATTTAACATAGCTATTGAAAATGGTGATTTATAGTGGATTTTCCCATTGAAAATGGAGATTTTCCATAATTAGTTATGTACACGTTTACCAGAGGGTAATTGGTGTCGAATATCTATTGAAATTGCACTCTTGCTGGCTGATCCACGTTCACTGATTCCAGGATCTCAAAAAATCTGCGGTCAACTGTGAGCCACAAGCCCTACGGAATTTTTCCGAGGTGATTTGGGTCAGGTTACCCGGCCTGGTAAAGGTTTACATAACGAACTGGACAGATCCACCATTTTGTAGCTGGGTAAATCAACTATTTCGACTGGCCATGGCTTCAATAGCAAACTGTTTACCAGAGGGTAACGGCCTGACATCCAGCCATCGCCATCCCAACCATGGGCCATAGGGGGCCAATCATAGCAAAGGCCCATGAAACTTGGTAATGTAAACCCTGGATGAATAAACCCCAAACTTACGGCTGTTTAAAAATGGGAAGGTACCATAAAAAAGTATCAAATCATGACGAAATAGGGGGATATTGGGGGAATACCCCCTGTTTTTTCATAAGCCATGGTTTATTAATCTGGGGTTGACATTACCCTCTGGTAATTTAACATAACTATGGAAAATCATCATTTTTAATGGGAAAATCCACTATAAATGGTCATTTTCAATAGCTATGTTAAATTACCAGAGGGTAGAGAACATGCAATCAAATTGAGTCTTAGATGCTCCAAAGATGTCACTTAAGTGTGACTTATGACAATGGCAACCTGACAATGGCAACTTCGCGAGACACTTGGCTCGCCATGGAACGTGGTTCAAACCCTACAGTCCACCTCTTGAAATGTACCCTCTGGTAAACATACAAAAAGCTATTGAAAATTGCCATTTATAATGGATTTACCCATTAAACATGGTGATTTTCCATAGTTATGTTAGTTTACCAGAGGGTATCTGCCAACTCTTTGCCAACCTCTGATGTAGCAAGTTGTTGTGCACATTCAATCCACAATGTTGGCCCACATTCAACACAAAATTGTCAGCCAAAAAAAAATGGGGTTCCCCAATTTTTTGAATCATGCCCATCCATGCCCATCCATGGTCAAAACGTTGTATAGTAATGCAGCCATAGTCATCCCACCATCATTAGGGATTCCTCGTAATCGGTATGCACATCTCCGTATAAATTGATGACACCCCAATCAATGGCCATACAATCCATTGCGGATGGCTGATACGAAAAATCACCAAACATCTGCGGTCTAAAGTCACCCTCCGGTAATCAAAGGTGGGAAAACCTCCCATTTACTTCGGTGATTTTCCCACATTCCATATCTTCCCATGGCTTAGTTCCAACATTTCCCAGCCATGTTTCATGACACCGATCACTTGACGCCGCAACTCCTCGTCTCTCCACCGTTCATCCCAGAGATCCCGCTCGGGGAAGAAGTGATCGGTCATCACCTGGGACGTCCGCGACCGGTGACCTCGAATTCTTGGGACTTCATCAGATGATCTCCCCAAAATCCTGTTTAAAACACCATCAAACACCATTAAAACACCATGCCAAAAAGTTCGTGTTTTGGTGTGCTTCGATGACAGAAGATCGTCTACTGTTTTTTGGATCCACGAGGTAAGTTTTCGCACCGATGATGACTAGTGACTAATGTGCAATAGTCAACCATCTAAAACTAGAGTCATTAGTAGGCAACCATTAGTCATCAGTCATTAGTAGATTACTCTAATTTTGGTTTAAACCATCTAAAATTCCGGACAGACCCCGTGGTTTGCCCAGACTGCAAAATTGAGGATTCCCTGTCGTCGAACATGAGAAGAGAAATTGCAGAAAATACTGCGTATACAAAGTGTTTTCTGCTTTCGGATTCAGAGTTGTCAGGGTTTCAGGGTTTTAGATGGTTTTAGGGTTTAGGGCTTAGGGTTCGTCGTCTGGTAAATACCACAACACTGGCCCTGCGCAGGTTTTTGAGCATGTCGAAGGATAACATTTGAACTCCATTCTAACCTTGCGGGCAAACCATAGGGTCTTGCCGTAAAATTAGGCCAAGGTTCATGCAGGGTCTTTGTCGACGTTCAGGTCATAATTTCCACCCAATTCCAAAAAAAAACACACCTTCCAAGGATGCTATGGATATCCTGCTAACCTGCAAGTGAAACAAAACACTTGGCAAATGGATGCAAATATGCCAAGTATTGCCAAGTTATACCTCCATGTACAGATTTATGTCTGGTTGGTGGTTAAAAACCATCTTGAAAAATATGATTTCGTCAATGGGAAGGATTATCCCATATATTATGGAAAATAGAACATGTTTAAAACCACCAATCAAGTATTTGGTGTCGAATACCCATTGGTCCATTGCACTTGTACAGATTCATATGATTTACGTATATTATTTATGTATATAATCCCATTGGTAGATCCCCATATAGATCCCATGAAGATCCTTGGAATTCCCCTTAAATCCCATTAAAATCCCATTAATTATATACCCTCTGGTTATGACTAACATAGCCATGGAAAGATCCACCATTTTTTAGTTCGGTAAACCATCTATAAATGGGCCATCTATACCATGGCTATGTTAAATTACCAGAGGGTAATCACAATTTGATGTTGTTCCATGAAGATCCACTGCTGCGATTCCCAGTGATTCCACACTTCTGCCTGCCTCGAAATCCGAGTCATAAAAGAAGTGCGGAAAGGGATCTGACAAGAAAACCACGTCCTTGGCGAAGCGGGACGCGGGGTAGAAATGGACGCACAAAAGTGGTCATGTTTGGTATTCAAACGTCCAAGTTCGGTCAATTTAGAATTTAGATTGCATTAAGAAGAACTATTTGGAACCTTTTGGAACCATACAAAGGATCATATGTCATATGTCATACATTGTCATATGGGGTTTGGGGGTCTATCCAATGTTTGGCCCATTGTTTCAATTTTCAAGACACCTCAAAAAAAACACCGAAAACAGAAACTTGGGGTGGACATAAGCCAAATAGACAGTCAGACAGTTGGCGGCAATCCAAAAAAAGGTAGTGATATTCCCCAACATATTGGGTAGCAGAATCCCTGAAATAATCCCCGAACTAATCATCAACCAACTGGCAATCTTACCCTCTGGTAATTTAACATAGCTATGGAAAATCACCATTTTTAATGGGAAAATCCACTATAAATCACCATTTTCAATAGCTATGTTAAATTACCAGAGGGTAATCTGGTTGGTGGTTTCAACCGACCCCTCTGAAAAATGATGGAGTTCGTCGTTATGGGTTTCGGATAAAAAAAATCCCATCCCATGACATGGATAAAATCATCCAGCCATGTTCCAAAGCACCAACCAGTGATTATTCACCATCATTAACCATCATTAACCATCATTAACCATCCAGCCATGGAACATAATCCAGCCATGTTTGAAACCACCAACCAGAAAATATACCATAACATCCCGGAAAATCCAGGGATGTTATCACCCATCTATCGACCATCTATCAGCATGGATGCCATGGCGCCCTTGCGGATGCCCTGGCGATTGATCGCTGGATCTTTTGGAAGAACACATGGCCCAAGTACCATCTGGTTATGACATTCACAGTTTGCGAAGTGGAAAGATCCAGCATTTTTATTCATTTTTTAGTTCGGTAGTCACCATCTATTTCGATAAATGGGCCATCTATAATCATTTATACCATGGCGAAATGTTAGTCATAACCAGAGGGTATCAAAAAAAATTGGCTTAGAACCAAACTCATGGTGATGTTCCATAGTTTTTTGTATGTTTACCAGAGATGACCACAGGATATAGAACTGTCTTCGTGGAGTTCTGCACCAGCGAAACACCGCTGGGCCTCGCGACTGTGTCCAACAACAAGGCGTTCAAATTCAGCGATAGCAAGGCTGCCAGTAAACGCCTTGTTGAACGGATGAATGGGGTGGTCTGAGGTCATGCTGACTAGATGATGAATAGAGATCAGTAGAGTCTAGAAAACATGTAATATAACTATGTAGCAAAGGCCTGAATCAGACAAAAAACCACTTAGTCATCACAATCCTAGTGTTTTTTTTCCCCCGAATAAGAGATGGGTTAATTTGGTCACAATAGTTCATACATCTTTGCTGTGCGACACAGGGGCCTAAAATAGACGTGTTAACACCTAGTCTACTACTGTTGTCGTTGTTGTTGTCGTTGTTGCTGTTGTTGGTGGTAGGTGGTGGCAGTCATATTCCAGATACACCCCATGCCCGTCAACATCGTCGTGTTCCTTTCGGAGTCTTCCCTCAAATTCAACATTGCACTCCCATTTTGTGGGCTTACCCATAGGATCCATGGTGCTGGTATATACGCTAACATGACTGGGGTTTTTGTTGCTGGGATCCATGGAGCACCATATATGGCAGCACCATGGATCCTATGGCTTATGTACCATACATTACCATACATATACCATACCATTCTCAAACGCCCCAAATCTGGAGATAACTGAAAAACATCATGAAAAACCAAGCGAAAAAAACATTCGGACATTTGGACATGATTCGATCAACCATAGTTTCAGTGACATCCATAAATCAAAAACCCCAAAGATCTACTAACCCTCTGGTAAACGTTTACATAACGAACTGGAAAGATCCACCATGCTATTTAGCTGGGTAAATCAACTATTTCTATGGGCCATCTTCAATAGCTATTTTGACATACCCTCTGGTAAACTAACATAACTATGGTTAAAATCACCATTTTTAATGGGTAAATCAACTATTAATGGTCATTTTCAATAGCTATGTTAGTTTACCAGAGGGTAGTGTGGAGGACAACCAACCCGCTTGGTCAACTCCCCAGAGGGTAACCAGAGGATATTTCATCCGCACCATGAGGTCATCTGATTTCTGAGCCGCCATCGCGTCATGAAGATGTCGACGCTTTCCTGAACTCGGAGATTTTTTTGGACACGGGACACGCGGCAACGTTTGGGGTTTGGACATGGAAATATTGGAAGTGGATGAACATGCAGGATGGTGCCCCCCAGTTATAAGTTGGTTTATAAACCCCATGAATACTAGTTCGTTATATCTGCCATAAACCATAGTTATGGGACTTATAAACCAACTTAGCTAACGAACTGGGGCACCACCTTGTGGAGTATGCCCTCTAAATTGCAATCTTGTTGGAAAGCCATCAAATTTGGGATAGAGTGTCTTGAGGATGCGACGAATGAACAATTTGGGAATGTCACCCCCATAAAATCACCGAAGACAAATCAGCGGTTGTGCCAGATTGACTACATCAAATCAAATCTGGTTGGTGGTTTTAACCATCTTGAAAAATGATGGAGTTCGTCGATGGGAAGGATTAATGATCCCATATATGGAATATCATCCAGCCATGTTTGAAACCACCAACCAGATAATATACCATAACATCCCGGAAAATCCAGGGAAAATCACCCATCTATCCCATAATTGGTGTGTTTAGTGATGTTTCGTGTCTTCATCCGCAGCGATGAAACATGCAGAAGTCAAAACCCTGACGTAGTCTGGGCTGGACCCCTTGGGGATGGTCTGGACCCAATGGGTTTTTTTTCGAAACCGGCCATTGAAAGGAAGGGTGTTTTTAAGGGAAAATAGGGGAAAATGATGAGAAATTCCATGGGGATCTTCGATGATCTTCCGGTTTTCCCGGTTTTCTGCCGACATCTTCAATCCAAACGCAGAAGACATGGGGCAGAACTTCCTTTCTGGATGATACTGCGCTACCCTCCGGTAATCAAACATGACAAGTGAACATCCATGAACATCCCCTATAAATAGAGCTTTAGCGCTGGGGAAATCATCGAATGTTCATTGATTTTCCAAGCCACATTTGATTATAGACCAGACTCAGAACATATTCTAAATTTTGCTGCAGCTGAGCAAAATTTACCCAACGTAACTTAGCCAAGTCGCATAGAGCCAGGTGGTGACGTTGTGTTGCTGGAGGAAGGTCTGGGTCCTGGGATCTGAATTCCGATCGATCAATGGTTGTCCTTTTCCAGGAAAAAACACGCGAATAGCATTTGAACATATTTGAACTATGTGAACTTTAAGTGTCTGTGTGAAATTATGAATCTGAAATTGTCGAAATTGTAATACCTTTGTTTCATTTGAACGTTATTTAATCTGAAATTGTTGAATACCGTTTTCTCTTTTTGCGAACTTTGTGAATTTTGACGAGTTTCGCTTCAATAAAAATTAATTAAACGATAGTAATTTTAATAGAAGAATAATCAAATAGTAATAACAGCAGTAATGGTAGTAATAAATAAAGAACATAATGATAATGAATGATAATGACAATACTGACAATCATAATGACAATAATAACTAGTACTAATAATGATACTATTGATGATAATAATGATAATAATGATAATAATGACAATGATAATGATAACAATAATATAGTTAAGGTCACCCGGTAGGCGTGAAATTTAGTGCTTACTACTGCCTAAAAATGTGTCCGATTTGGGGTGTTTTTAGCATGTTCGTCGGGGGGCTATTTTCGCAGGTTTTAGACAACCAGGGGTAGTAGGCAGAAGTGTACCTCAGATGTGTGCGAAACATTTTGTGGTTTCTGCTTACTGCACCTCCTTTCCATTGAAGATATAAAGAGTATATACATAGAATTACATAGACATGTAATTATAGACAACGCCTCAGTCCAGTTCGTGGCCCCATCTTGTGAACATGCAACTGATTTCGTCATGATGGGCGCTGCCACAAAAATGCATGTCCACGTGGGGACCCATTCATACAACCATCAAAACCTTGTGAATGAAGGGCATTTCATCCAAAAAAACATTGTTCTGTTCCTGCAGCCTCAAAGTAGCAAGAAAATAATTAAAACATGTGCCAAAATCATGGTGCAGTCCTGATAAAAATTGACTAGATGCACAAAAACAACCTGGCGCAAGGAGAAACCCACCCCCAGTAAGCAGATCGTGGATCGCTTACCGCAGCCCTTTCTTGACGATACCTCATACATTTGGGAACCTGCCATTGTGGATTGATTTTTTGTGTGTGTGTAGCAGGGCGACATGAGGGGCCTTGGCCAAAAAAATACGCTGTTTTGAAAACATTTACTCACTTACTCCTGGCGTTCATCAGCATTTGAGAAAAATCACGTTTGAGAGCCATTTGCAGTGGCAGGGACTGATTGGGGAAATTGAGCCGCTAAAAGCCAGAAATCCAAGATGCCTGTGTGAATGATCTGTTTTTTTAAACGTTTCCCACAAGGAAAATGGATAAGAACAGGTACGTTCAAAAGCCACAAGCCACGGGCTAGTTTCACATTTTTTTTGCATGCGCTTGAACACAACGCAAGAAAACAGTGAAAGTAGCCTATTCCCCCGGGAAAAGTGCCAAAATAACCGTGCAATCCTGATAAAATTGGCAAAGACACAGAATTTAGCCTGACTCAACGCAAAAACAACCTTGCACCCCCAGTAAGCAGATCGTGGATCTGCTTACTGCAGCCCTTTGTCGACGATACCGACGATATCTCATACATTTGGGGACCTGCCATTGTAGATGGATTTATTTATGTGCGTAGTAGGGCGACATGAGGGGCCTTGGCCAAAAAAATACGCAGTTTTGAAAACATTTACTCACTTACTCCTGGCGTTCATCAGCATTTGAGAAAAATCACGTTTGAGAGCCATTTGCAGTGGCAGGGACTGATTGGGGAAATTGAGCCGCTAAAAGCCAGAAATCCAAGATGCCTGTGTGAATGATCTGTTTTTTTTTAACGTTTTCCACAAGGAAAATGGATAAGAACAGGTACGTTCAAAAGCCACAAGCCACGGGCTAGTTTCACATTTTTTTGCATGCGCTTGAACACAACGCAAGAAAACAGTGAAAGTAGCCTATTCCCCCGGGAAAAGTGCCAAAATAACCGTGCAATCCTGATAAAATTGGCAAAGACACAGAATTTAGCCTGACTCAACGCAAAAACAACCCTGCACAGGGAGAAACCCACCCCCAGTAAGCAGATCGTGGATCTGCTTACTGCAGCCCTTTGTCGACGATACCAATGATATCTCATATCTTTGGGGACCTGCCATAGTAAAAGGGGCCCTTTTCATGTGCGTAGTATGGCATGGAAGGCTTTGGGCAAAGTTTTGAACAGTGCAACAGCCAATTCCCCGGAAAAAAATGTACCAAAGTCATGGTGCAATCCTGATAGAATTAGCAAAGACGTAGAATTCCCTGCACAGGGAGAAAGCCACCCCCAGGACCTTCCATGGTAGATGGACCTTTTTCATGTGTGTAGTATGGGATGGAGGGCTTTGGGAAAAGTGCCCCCATGCCCATCTAGTTGGCAGGTACACTTAAGTACCCCCATGATAGCAAATTCTGAGGTAGATACAATCTGTTTATATACACAATGGTGGGAACCCCGGCACCAGTAGGCAGATTCCGCTATATACAACATATAAACAAAGGCACCCCAGTAGGCAGAAGTGTACCTCAGAATTTGCTTTCATGGGGGTACTTATGTGTACCTTTTCTGCTTACTAAGTCATCCGCGCGGAACACTGCCTACCGACCGCCCTTAACTATAACAATGACAACAATAACAAATAACTACTGCTAATAGTAAGCATATATATATATATATGCATTCTACAATTCATGTTTGTAACTGCAATGATTAAAAACAAACAATAAAAAACATATAATTATAGCAGCATGTAATGTAGAATTATGATAAACACAGACACAACAAGCAAGATCACATCATCATCACAGTATTGATGAAGCTATTTCATATCACCATACCGAAACATTCAATACCAACATATACCAACAACCATATAATAAATCAATAACCAGAATCAACCCTGCTGGAATTTGAAACCCGCCACGTGGCTGGTGAGGTTTGGTGAAATCAGAACTGCGTCTCCACGTTGCAATGAATCCCATTCGCCCCAAATGATGATAGTTGGAGAAGTCATGTTATATAATTAGTGGTTGAAGAACTAATGGATGACACTTTAACATTCATAACTTATATATATATATATTGATAACCCCAAATTATATTTATAATTGAGTCAACTAATCAAAAACCAATGTTGGCCTGTTGGAACCAATCTGTAGTATAGGATCAAACGTGGCTAGCTGGTAAATCCATGTAAACCCCCGAAATAAATGAAGGCTTTAAACGTGGACAATGCTACCAGCACCAGTCGAGCTACTCAAGGTCCAGAGACAAGACCACGAAACTCGGGGCCTGGGTGAAGCGGTACCGCAGGTCGTTCATGATGCTCGTTGCTGGCGATGCAAAAAATATGGGAACAACTGTCAGTTTAGCAATGTCCAAAGAGATGCCAAAAACAAAAAAACAATGGTGAAATCTAGTTCTGTTTTAGTGCTAATTTGTTTCTCTATCTTTTCTATCTGGCTAAAGTTTTACTTGTGAATCAGAATACCTTAACAATGGAAAAGTAAATACAAATAATGAGACGTGAATCACCAGATTTTTTTTGGGATCCAGGTGCATATAAACAATGGGTTTCAACTACAAGCCTGCGTTCCCCGGTCAATGTGAACCGGAAAACCAAGTAGAGCATTCCTTTGAATGAGTGCAGTATTGCTTGACCACAGAAATTATTCCATATATGCCATGGTCCTTTTGGAAGAGTGCGTTCAGGAAAAAAAACATAAGTTTTGGAGGTTAGCAAAAAAACTAATGAACTAGTTTCGAAGAAGAGGCTAGAGGATCTAGCAGCCACATCTGCAAACCAAAAACAATAAACAAGAAGAAACACAGGAAAACTGGTTGGTGGTTGAGCCACCCCTCTGACTCTGAAAAATCATGGACTTCGTCAGTTGGGTTTTTGCAGACATTCCCAACTGTTTCTGGAAAGTCATAATCCATTCCATGGTTCCAGTCACCACCAATCAGATATTTTCCACTAAAAAAAACCTCTTCTGGAGTGGGGGGATTGATTCACCCCTGGGAAAGAGAAAACAACGTTGCCATCGCCCAAAACTCTAACCCCCAACAAGATAGAATTTAGCAACATATTGGAAACATCATCAATGTCTGGTAACATGCTGGAAAAAGTATCAATTTCTGACATTCAATGAATGTCTATAATCAATTTCTGACATGTATATATATACATACCCTCTGGTCATTTAACATAGCCATGGAAGCCATGGCCCATAGAAATAGATGATTTTCCCAGCGAACTAAACCTCCATTTATGGGCCAGGGATTTTCCATGGCAAACTGTTAGCCATAACCAGAGGGTATCTGCTTGGTGATACATCTAATCTTTGTTTCTGAATCTTTTTGGGGCTTACTTACCATGAAATCAGAAACCACGTCCACGACACGGCACCCATTGCGGAGCATTCTGCTTGATGGACTCATAGAGGTTCAACGCCTGGGAATTTCGCTCATGGAGCGGCGTAAGGCGAAGCATGCGGGACACGGCAGCTGGACACTTTCCCATGGGTTTTTCAAAGCATCAAATAAGGCCTGTCCTGCAAAATATCTCAAAATATATCAAAATATATCAAAATATCTCAAAATATCATGTAAACATATGTTAAAACATCTTAGTAAACCACTTCTTAGTAATTCCCAACGAATCACCGGTTTCTTATAGTAAATTCCCAACGGAAACCCATCGGCTTGTGTTTCAATGGCCAACCGGGACGGCTAGGTCTTCGCTTCACGATGAATTATATCCTTCGTGGCTTCACCATGGTGTCGGCCATCAGCCAGTGATGTGTACCTCACTTAAGTCGTCAAGATCTTAATCATGAAATCTCAGCTTTAAACCCAAAACAAAATGAGTTTTGTTGGTTACCCAAAAAATGTTGGTAAACTTTTAAACCCCAAAAAAATGAGTTTTTTTTGGTTACCCAAAAAATGTTCGAACCAGATTTTCCAGATGCACCCAGATATAGTCCATACAAATGGGAAATCCAGTGCTACTGTATGTTTGAAACCACCAACTTTTCTTTGTTGTCCCCGGGTACAGCATTGTGCTCCTCGGAAATTTATTGCTGTCGAATTCTACCGGTTAAACCTCTGAATTCCTCTCGGCAAAACCCATCATTTCCTGTTTAACACCCCTACTTCTGTTGGTTAAAACCCATTCGTTGGGTTTTTCCAAGAAAGATGGTGCGTAGATCATCCCTTTTTCCAATCAGCATGTGATTTTGGGCTATTTATGGTTATTTATTTCCATTTCTCCACAAACCCATATATGATTGTTGGCCTTGGTCCAAAGAAGAATAAATTCATCATATGGCTATTACAGTTGGTTATAAGACCAACTACATCCCCATGATGCTTTGTTCAATCTCCATTTTCAAGGCTGGGCTCCCCCTGCCATGCGCGCGAAGCGGCTGCCGCCACCGGACCACGTGCAGACCTTGCAACAAATGAGTCTCTCTGAGAAACATTCTTCCCACTCCACTTGGTTTATGATCTTATCTTACTTGTGCAACAAATGTAGAAAGTTTTCGGGAATGATCCACTGGCTAACTATTTTCATTATCATCCCAGCAACCCCCAGCAACCCAACCCATCCAGCAACCCTACGTTTAGCACGCACGCACCAGTTGGCAATTTCATGGGTCAAATCGCCATGGAAATCCCAAGATTTTGCTGATGAAAAATCCAAAAAAAGTGGCTGGTCAAAACACTTTTTTCTTCATGGCGAAGTTTCCTCATGTTTGATCAGGTGAATCAAATCCTGATCTTTTGATGCAACAAACTCCCCATTTTTGAAATGCAGATATGGTTTTTTCCAGTGAAAGTCCCAAACGCTTCGGAAAAAACTAGGGTCCCCCTTTCACTGCCAAGTCACCAAGGTCTTCCGCGGCCCTGCCGCCTCCCGCAACTTCTCCACAGGTGCAGGCCTCGAAGATTTCGATGGGAAACTTGGACCAAAAATCCAGATGTCTTCGCCATGGCCCATAGAAATAGATGATTTTCCCAGCGAACTAAACCTCCATTTATTATGGATTTGGTTGGGATTTTCCATAAATTCTGGCTTCCATGGCAAACTATTTAAATAACCAGAGGGTGTCTGCTTGGTGGTTGACCTACCCCTCTGAAAAATCATGGAGTTCGTCACTCGGGATTATCATTCCCAATATATGGAAAAATGAAAAATGTTCCAAACCACCAACCAGTTAGAAGAATGTCCTAAAACATGAACTAACCATCAACTATTCTTAAACATTCTTAAACCAGTAGTAACTATCCTTAAATATGGTTACTAAGTTTAAGGCTATTTTGGGACACCAAAATTACATCCTCTTACCACGAACTGGTGAGGTCAGTTGAGGTCCACGAAATAAATTATCCAGATGTGCTCTTGGATTTATACATTTTTATGGGACCGGCCTGTTGCCATATTTTTCTGTGTCTTATTCAAGGGATATGCTGGGAAGATCTTTTTTGATATCAGCTTTGTGACCTCCTCAAGCCAAAAATGGACGCACAACAATTTTCGTTCAAAGACACCAGCGCAATACAAGTCATCATCGTTGAAAACCCAGCTGGTTGACATGTTGGATGTGACTGTCCACTGCGCCATGATGAAATCTCTGGATGACCATCCCAGAAGCATCCCACAAGAGATCCCACAGCATCCCAGAATTCTGACATGACTACCCCATGACTACCCGGCCTGGTAAACATAGATAGCTATTGAAGCCATGGCCCATAGAATAGATTCTATGTGATTTTAGTTCGTTGATTTAGCGAACTAAACCAATATTGTGGATCTTTCCAGTTCGTAAAAATGTAAACGTTTACCGGTCATCCAACACTATTTTGAAGACACAAAATCATCCAACGTTGCGAAGAGTCTCCAGGAATGATCCAACCAGCATCCAACCTAATCATCGAACCATATCCAACCATAGGGTGATATGAATGTGAATAAAAAATAGGTCATCTCAATCGTCATTTCACCCTGCCTGGGTACTTAACCCCCAATTTTAGTTGGCCAAATCATCCTACTCTTCAAATCAACCACCAATCCACCACTTGTTTGGTCCAACCTCCCAATCTTCAACTAACAAACACCATCTTTTTCTGGCTCCATCATCCAAATGTTCAGATACCCTCCGCTAATTTCTTACATAGCTATTGAAAATTCATTGCCCAGTCGAAATAGTTGATTTAGCCATTCAACCAATGGTGGATCTTTTGATCTTTCCAGTTTGCTAACGTTGACCAGGCCGGGTCAGTGGCCAGTGGCGCCACCCGGTTTTCCCCAAGCCCTCCGCCAGCCCCAGCTGTGGGTCCCGAACACCTCGAGGAGATCTTCGTCTCTTTGCCAGGCCTCGACGTAGGACTGCAAGCGGCTCACCTAAAAACGGAGGGATGGGAGTTTCCCCAGCCAGGCTGGGATGATGTGCCGGGCACTAAGGATGGATACCCTCTGGTAAACTAACATGGCTATTGAACATGGCCATAGAAATAGTGAGTTTTCCCATGAAAAATGGTGGATCTTTCCATAGCTATGTTAGTTTATAAGGATGAATAGATGATTTGGGGGGTACCACTAACTTTAGGAAACCTCCATATTTTTTATTGGTTGAACATGATTTTCTACGGAACATCCACCAAAGAAGATGGATGAGAACTGGGAAATCCTATTAAAATATGGATGGATGAGAACTGAGGGTGCCACCACTATCTTAGGAAACCTCTGAAAAATCGGGGCTTGAACATGGTTGAACCGCAAAGATTGGGATTTTGTCATGGCTAAACGATCCTATGAAGATCTATGACATGGATGGGGAGTAGGATCGCAAATTCACGAAAATTTCTCGCTTTCTCCAACATGTGGGGGTTTCCACAAATGGGGGTACCCCATTAAAATTGATGGTTTATAAGGGAAAAACCCCTAAAATGGATGATTTCCATGCGGTATCCCCTATGGAAATCACCATGTCTTCTGAGTTCTCTTGGAAGAACTAGGTAGAGTATGGCCTGGTATGGGTCTCAATCTAGGACTCCAAGAGATTGCCTGGTAGCTCTATAGCTTGACCCTTGAAAAAATCCTTTCACTAGGTCTATGTGAAAAACCTCAGCAGCTTAGCAGCTTAGCATAAATCAATGGGCATGGGACAGTTCTAGGACAACTATTGAACAATAATACAAAGTGGGGCCCCCAAACAATAGCTAAGTTGGTTTATAACTCCAATGTCACTATGCTTTATGGTACCTATAACGAACTAGTATTCATGGCGTTTATAAACCATCTTATAAGTGGGGGGGCCCCACATTGTAGGATCATTTTTGAACAGGGAAACCAGCCCGGTCATCCCGCGGTCCGTAATGGCCGTTCATCTTCCCTGTTGTTCAATATGGCCGTTTGGGGATATATCTCATGGAGCATATCCCCTATGTCAGGCCATCAATCCTCCTGTCGATTTCCCCTGCCGCCTCCTTGATGCTTCTGAGAATGGCTGGATTTCCTGCCGCGATCTGATGCGTGTTCTGATGCTATCTGTAGATCCGATTCGAAGGTCTTTGAGGATGCCCCCAAACAGTCACGAAAAATCAGCTTGGGCAAATATTAGCCTCTGGTTATGGCTAACATAGCCATGGAAAATCCATAATAAATGGAGGTTTCAATGGGAAAATCATCTATAAATGGGCCATGGCTTCCATGGCAAACTGTTAAATAACCAGAGGCTATCTGCTTGGTGGTTGACCTACCCCTCTGAAAAATCATGGACTTCGTCAGTTGGGATTATGAAATACACAATATATGGAAAAATAAAACATATTTGAAACCACCAACCATCTTGAAAAATATGATTTCGTCAATGGGAAGGATTATCCCATATATTATGGAAAAATAAAACATGTTCCAAACCACCAACCAGATTATCATTAGCCACAACTCATGAGGAGTTGCTACTTACATGGCACCATCCTAATTTTTCATTAGTCCTAGGGGGTCGTTAATCCTGGGTTGACATTACCCTTCATGACTAAAGTTGGGGGCCTAGCCCGACACTAATTTTCGGGGCGGACTCTGATAATCAAACCAGAAATGAGACGTTAGAAGTTTCTGTGAACATAGAGTAGCCCCTGAACAAATTCACTGGTTAATAACTCCAATAACTATGGTTTATGGTACCTATAACGAACTAGTATTCATGGGGTTTATAAACCACCATCATCATTTTTCTAACTCATATTTTAAATGCCATGGATTGAGGTATCCACCATTTCCAGATAGATAGATAGACCTCCTAGCCTCCTAGCCATCACATGCAGGAGCCCTGCCCCCGAAGCCGGTCATTTTCTTCTGCTTTCGCACCAAAGACCCAGCATGGATGTGTCTGAAAATGGGCTATGCCCTGCAAGATTTTTGCATTTTGTATAGTGTGAGAATCATGAATCAATAAATTACAATGATAAATCCAATGAATCATAGAGTAATGATGATAAATTACAATGATAAATCTATTTTTTGGATTTTTTTGGTACCCTTTCAGACAAAACCCACATGAAATCCATGAAAATCCAATCCTTCTACAGTATCTGCTGGTTGTAAACTGTCAGAACCTATGTAGCTGTCAGGAGAGCTGCCTGAGACTTGGGCATGGTTCAGCCTTTTTGCGAGACAGCCGGGCACGCAGGAGCTATGGAAAATCATGGTGCTGTTGACGCTACAATTCGAACAGCAACTGAGGGATACATTTGTGGAGATATTGCCACGCATGACATTTATTAATTTATATTCTATCTGATATTCTGATATATCTGCAGAGATTCATACCACCAACAGCAGCAGCTATGTCGAAAAATGTCGAAAATTCATGCTTAAACAGTCCTCAAAAAAATGGCGGAACGCACCGCAGAAGACTCTCTAAAACTTCACCAAGCTTTGGTGCTGCAGATGTTGCGAGATCGGGTGCCTCCAGCCGAACTGCTGTCCATGTCATGTCCCACTTCAAGTCAAACAAATGTCAAAAAGCCATGATGTTCGGTTTATATACCATCCAATCATCCAACATCAAACTATCATTTTTTGTGGGTTAGACATGGCTAAACTAGTTAATTTTTTTTGATGGTTAAAATCCACATTTCAATTTTGATGGTTAAATTTCTGAATTGCAAGAATCCATGTTAAATTTATTTGATGGTTAAAATCAAACTATGGGTAAATCCACTATTTCTATGGCCATTTTCAACAGCTATGTAAGAAATTACCAGAGGGTATATTCTGATTCCCATCATTTATAGATGATTTTCCACTATATTCTCCCATTTTCCCTATATTTTCCCAGGATTTTCCACATTTTGATGGTTAAAATCCACATTTCTGAAATGCTGTGAACCGAGCGACGTTCATCTGAAGGGCCACCCTCCACCCTCCTCTTTGGCCGCTTCGGCGGCGTTTTCCTCATCGTGAACTTCCTGAGGAAAACGTCACCATCTGGGTGTGTCTAAAAATGGATAAAACCCCCCAAACTTACCCTCTGGTAAATTAACATAGACCCTGAAAATAGCCTAGTTTTAATGAAAACTAATCTTCCAACCCCGATGACTGCCAGGGTCGAACTGTTAATTTACCAGAGGGTACCATTCAATAGTAGGGGAAATCATCAACCACTGGAAAAATGGGGAGACTTTCATCATTGTTCAGTGAACCCCAATTTTTCATCATTTTTCGGACTGTTCAACTATGAATGTCTCTGAAAAAAGGTGCTATGACTGGTACAATCATCAAGAAATAGGAGAGTCAAACTTAGATCTATAACATTCTATAACTATAATCAACCATCTCAACATGAATTGGGGGATATTTTTTCACAATCATTGATGTGGCTCAAACTGGCTGCCATGTTTACATATGTTTACCATAGTTCATTGCAATTTTTCATGATTTTCATGGGGATCAAATAGGATTTTTCTATGATCTGGTTGGAGGATGTTGGAGCTACACCTACCTCTCTGAAAAATCATGGCCTTCGTCAGTTGGGATGATCAAATTCCCAACTGTTTCTGGAAAGTCATAATCCATTCCATGGTTCCAAACCACCAACCGTTGTATAATGTGGGTGATAATAAACCATCCCCTGGTCCTCCCCATATATTCTTGTGGGATTCGTTTACCATTCCCAGTCATGGATGGTTAGTTGTAAAAATGACATTGTTTTACCCACATGATGCTCGTAGAATCCAACATCAACTGACGATTTCTCGCTAAAAAACCAGGCGGACGCGCTTTTGAATCGCGATCCTGCGAATGTCATTCACTTCAGTCCAGGTTTATAGAGTAAATTATAACTGGTTGGTGGTTGACCTACCCTTCTGAAAAATATGAAAGTCAAATGGGATTATTGTTCCCAATACATGGAAAAATAAAAAATGTTCCAAACCACCAACCAAATAACATATTATAACTGGTTGGTGGTTGAGTCACCCACCCATATTATAATCAGTAAGCACCAAGTGCTATCATCGAATGTCATGGAATGTCATGGAATGTCACAGATTTCCTGGCTGGTGGTTTCAACCTATACCCCTCTGAAAAATATGAGTTCGTCAGTTGGGATGGTTATTCCCATATATCATGGAAACATAAAATTCATGTTCCAAACTACCAACCAGATATTATAAGATGTTTACCCTCTGGTAATTTAACATAGCTATGGAAAATCACTATTATGAATTGGAAACGGGATCGTCAAATGCCCAACTTTTACCACGGCAGCGCGGTATGACTCAAGGGCCCTAAAGCCAAATGTCATCGGGGGCATGTGATCACTTGGCTATACAAAATATACATTAGACAGGTCAAACTCACACTCAACCTGTTCTTCAAGGATCACATGATGCTAGTGAAAAAGTTGGCTCTAAGGCTTCTTCTGTACACGATAAATGCACTCCTTCAAGACGCGGATAATGAGGTCCGGGCGCATGCTCTTGGTCAGAGCATCCGAGACCATAGTTCCTGTAGCAATCCAGGTAACGATGTCTCCTCCGCCATGATGCATATCCCAGGTCCTCCGGCCGTCTTGCCAAAGTGACTCATGAATCGACTGCAACTCAATGCCGAGTCGTTTGTCTGCGACCCTGCCGAGTACCTCATTCGCAAGATGGTCTGTTAGAGACCTGCAGTCTGAAAGCATCAGTTGTGGAATACAGCTGCGGCTGTCATCCAACCATGTTTTCATCGAGTCAAGTTGGCCCATCAGCTCGGCCAATGCTCCACGTAGCTTGTCACCGCTCTCTTGTCCAGCCTGCAGTGAATAAGCTTCGCATTGAAGAGTGCTGCGGCATACTCGCCGAATTGTATTTGATGCAAATCCCAATGGCATCACCCTGTAGGATGTAGTCTTGGGGTCTTTGATCTCATTGATGTCTCCAAGAAAATGGAAACGTCCTTGTTGTGATTTGTAGTTCTTCTCGTTTGAAAATGAAGCATCTGTTACTGTAATGATATCAACCTCTCCCCAGGTTAGATGTCCACCTGGAAAAATAAGTTTGTTCTCAATACCTTGTTGTGCCAGCTGTACTACGGCATTTGCGTCGTGCAAAATAGCGACTGTCGCTCCAGAAATACTGGACTGTAGGCGGCTCACACGATAACCCAAATCGGGTCTAGTCTGCCTTGCCACCCATGCCAATGATCCCGTTACAGACCGTAATCGGGTCACATCATCCTTACCCAACGGCTCGGACGCTGATCTTCCTGGCGCGATCTTGATCGGCTTGATGCGACGGGTGTTGTCGCAAGTGTCTTGTGTGATTGTTCCATCTGCAGTACGCTCAAATTGCTTGCCACAATAGCGAAACGAATTTGATTCACTTGATCCCAAGTTGAACTTCTCCAAGAAGCTGTCGATCACTGACTTTCCCTCAGGAATGTATGCGTACAAGATGTCATCCACATGTGTCGCCATAAGTGCAACGCAATCTTTGTCGGTTCCTGGAAGGAAATACAATCCTGGGTAAAACTTGGATTGTTTCAAGCCACTGGATCGGGCATCTCCGTCCAACCTCAACCAAAAACCTCGACCGCTGTCAGTCAATCCATATATAGGCACCCGCACAAGGAAAAACACCTCTGGATCAACTCCCGGGAGACCTCCTCGGGGTTGTCTCATAATGAGAACTCTATCAAGAGGACCTTGGAAATATGCGGATGCGACGTCCGCACTGTGCAATTGTGCGCCCTGGATCGCCGCCCAACAGCAAAGAATGTTGTGAGCTTCCGTATCTGCTGTAGGACTGTCTGATCTCAAACCTTCACTGACTTCGAAATTGCCGCATGATACCAACCGGCTCTTGAACTTTGGCATATATTCTTGATCTGTTCTTCCTTTCATAAATTGATTCTTATCAACATCAACCCACTTGCTGGGAATACATTGATGTCCTTCAGCAATCAACCTCTCAGCATCTTCTTTTGAAATTTCAACAACAGCAGCGAACTCAAGGAACTTGCTCCACTCCTTGGTTCTGGCATCCATGATGTTCTTCTGTACATCAGGTGACGCTGATTCATAGTGGATTGATTTCAACACTTTCTTACCTTGCTCTTCGTCCTCAGGGACTTCAACTTCCTGGGACAAAAATGATGCAAACAATGCTCGTGCTTCTTGTTGTTCTTCAGGACTTCGTTCTGAGTCTCTCTCACGAGCTCTTTCAAGATGTGTTCGCAATTGATGTGGTAAGTCATCCAAAAGTTCCCTTCGCAATGGCCAAGATGATGCTGACGGCGAGGATAGTGGTCCCAAAACGGAGCCACTTGGAGTAAGATCAGGCACAAAGGAGTCTCTCCGAGATGGCACAAGTGATGAGCCTCTCTCCGACTCAGGTTGTAGCTGAGACTCTACTCGGGGTCTCACGTTGCATTCATGACCTCCATCTCCTGGATGTGGTCTTTCAACTCTTCTTTCTGGGGTTCTACTCTGTGAAAAGATGTCTTCTTCCATAGGACCAGTGTCTTCCTCCTCCTCTTCTTCAAAGAAACCGGGCCGTATATCCCATTCATCTTCAGATACTTCTGGTATAGGAGGGAGTGCTGAATCCACATTGCCTTCATGGACAACTTCAACATCATCTGATTGTCCTGGACCATCACGAACAACTTCAACCTCATCTGCTTGTCTTGCATCAAGAAACGCTTGTTGATCTGTATCGTTGATGATCTTGTATGGAATCACAGGTTCACCATTCAACACCGATTGAGCAAGAGCTTCAGAAGGAGAAGCAATGCGTATGTTGTGAGAAGCTACAAGTACTGGAACGTTACCACATAGTAACCATATGTTCTTCTGGTTCTCGTGTCCGATCACACGACATGTTGGTGACCAGGACGTTCCTCCTCTCTGATTGTCTCGTCTGAAAGTGACAAGATCACCAATGTTGAACTCACGATCAAACACACTGGCATTGCGTGTCAACGCTCTCTGAACTCTTCTTGAACAATCAAGGTGAACAAAAGCCTTTTGTGCCTCAATCCTGGCCAAATGTTGTAATGCAAAAATTGATGAAGGGTCATGTCGGGCCTGAATGGCTCCGAGCTGTGCGTGATCTTCCTCTGACATGAGTGAAGCTACACCACGGGGAGCTCGACCAAGCACCCACTGAGATGGAGAAAAACCTCCAACACGTGCAGAGTCGTTCTTCACACTGAGCACCTGTGTGATGCACGACTCAACCTGTTCTTTGGTACAAGCCCCAACTTCTGTACACACTCGCCTGAAAAGAGCCTTCAACAAACCACCATGCCTCTCTACTCGGCCCAATGATTCCGGGCTCTCAAGGGGCACATGGTGCACTTGAATGTTATGTTCATCCATGTATTGTTGTAAGACACCACGATTGTGCAAACCACGGTCACACATGATAGCAACAGGATGTCCTGCCCAACTGAACCAACGTTTGATGAGTGCGTCCAAACAGGATCGCGAAGAAGCTTGGCCTGCTCCAACCTTCACAATTTCAGCCTGTTGAAAACAAGTGCCAATACAAACCATGTTGAGAACTTGATACTTCTGCCCAGTTATATCTGTCAACTCCAGTACATCAATCCCCAAAGTATGGTTGAATGTATAATCACTTGGAAGCGTAACTTTGTGAGTGGGTTTCTTTGCTGATGTTTTCTCACATGTTTCACATCTATGCAACTTCACTGCATCAACAAACTCCTTACTCACCTTTGCAGCACGCACCAAATTGACCATCACCGTCTTGGGGACATGTCCAAAAGCCCTGTGCAACCTACGCACAGCAATCCTGACACGCTGGGGAAGTTTGCGCCAAGACCTACGCCTTTCTGTTTCATCCTCTGGCAATCCAGGGATATCAACATCATCCAAAAGGGTCTCTTCATGTGTCAGGTCCTCAACCGGATCCTGCAATGCAACATCTTCTGGGCCATCGACTGCATCCC